AGAATCCCACATCCTGATGGCCACCACCAGCCCTGCCTCACACTTGCCCACCTAACCCCTCAGCCCTCCAGTGCTCCTCATTCATCTCCCTCTCTTTTCCCACCAGCTCAGGACCTTATTCAACAGGACCAGTGTTGGCACCTTCTACACTGGCTGCAGCCTGGCCGCTCTCAGGTGAGACCCCTAGAGAGTGAACTGACCCATCGGGCTGGGTGGACCTCCAGACACCAGCCATCAGGGGCTCTGGCACTGTAGACAACATTCCAGCACCCACTATGACTCCTTCATGCCTGTTCCCTGTGCAGGGGTTGCAAACACTTGAGCATTCAGTAGCTTAGGAAGGAGGCACTGTGTTTAGTGTTTGGAATCCAGGTCATAGTCTGTTTTAAATGAGACAAAGGGGAAAACCACGCATCCTCTCTATAAATTCTAATGTAAATGTTTTCTATCTCCCTTGCAATGAGAGACAGTTAGGAGAGCCCCTCCAGACTGCACAGCTAGCCCCATCAGCATCTCTTTCAGCCCACTGCCTTCCACTTTCTTGCTTTCCACGCCCAGACTGCTCAGGACCCCTACTAGTGTTCCACATTCCTGTGTCCTTCCTTCCCCAGCCTTGAGAAGGGAGGAGCAGCCACTGGTGTGAACTTTGTCTGCACTTTCCACTCTGACCCCTTAAACCCTGGACTGCGCAGAGAGCAGCTGTACTGGGAGCTGAGCCGAGAGACCTATGGCATCACCCAGCTGGGCTCCTTTGCCCTGGACAGGGACAGTCTCTATGTCAATGGTAAGGGGCTATGCATATTTCAGCCACGTGCTCTCTCCTGCTTGGAATCCTGTGTCTTCTGAAGCTATGAACAAGGTCTTCATCTCTCTAGAGTGACCTTTGACCCATGGTTTTCTTCCTCTGGGTCTGGATTCAATCTTCCTTGTGTTGAATCAAAAGCACCATGGGCACAATGACATGGTCCAGCCACCTCCAATGTCAACACCTGGCTGCCTCCCTCAGAAACATCCCTTCAATGCTTCCTCTCCCCTGCTTTTCCCAGAGAAGTCCCCAAATCCTGTCTTCATCTTTAATCCTTTTTGTTTACCCAGATGTCACTCAGCTCCTGCTCACATTTTTCTCTGCAGATTACACCTATGGAGCCATGGCCCCAACTACCAGCAGTGAGTATTCCTGGGTCCTGTACCCGCTTTTGTGTTGGGGAGCAGCGGTTCTCACTCATCTCCTGTCCCCTTAGTGAGGGAAATATCTAGGAGAATCTTTGGTTCATCCTATCTCTCTGTCTCCTGGGCCCTTGTATGTATGATTCAACAGGTATAAAAGAAAAGAAGGATGAACAGGTGTATGGAAGATGTAATGACTCTAAGGAGGAAGGGAGGGAGGATGGGTGAATGGGTGGAAGGAAGAAGAGATGAACGGAGGAGAAGAAGGATAAGGGAAGAAGGAAGACAAAATGGATAAACAGAAGAAAGGAAGGAAAGATGGTTAAGATGATGGATGGGTGAAAAAAAGAGACTGAGGAAGGAAGCAAGGAAAGGCTTGGCTGGGAGAAGGACAGATTGAAGTATTGACAGAAACAGGCACAGAAGAAGGGGCGATGAGGGACAAAGGAAAGATGGGTACATGGATAAATGGATACATTAGTGAATGGGTGGATAATGACTGGATGGATGGATGGACTGATGAATGAATGGGTGGATGGATTGACAATGAGTGAATAGATGGGTGGGTAAGAAAGGAAAGGATGGATGGAAAGACAGAATGGAGGGAGGGTAGGAGGGGTACATATGATTGGAGAGAGAAGGGGAAGATAAGAAAAAAGAAGTTGATGAACAGAACACAGGGAGGGAGAGAAGAGAAGGAAACATTCCTTCCAAGGTCTGCCTTAAATATTAGCTCATATTTGTTCCAAGGCTCCACACAGTAAGTGGCTGGAAGGCATGCACTTGTGTATTTTGAATAATGAGCACTTCCATAGTGTCTTCTCTGTGCCCAGAAGTGCTCCTACACTTTACAGAGATTAACTGGCTTAATCCTTACAACAGCCTCTGAGGAAGGAATCACTACAATGAGCCACTGTCACAGCCCATTTTACAGATGAGTAAATCAGGGTGCAGAGGGGTTACTTATGGCTACCGGCATAGTGGCTGCTCTAACCAATGTGTAGCAGATTGTCACACCTGGCTGCAGGGGCAAGGGCAGAGGAGAGAGTGGAAGGGAGGTTCATGGAGAGGCAGGGAAAGAGAGAGAGAGAGAGGCAGAGAGAGAGATGGAGCCTCATGATAAGGAGGCTTTCTTCCTTGGTAAGACCAACACCATCAGTGCCCACCCTCCCTGTATCTGCATGGCAATGGCCACTGGTCCCCCAATCATTAAGGGTGCCTCCTTGGCTGCTGTACTTGTCTGCTTTGACGAGGCACCCTAGCATCTCTTGGGAGATATACAGGAGGCCCTTGGGAGCCCCACCCTGGGGCATAAGCTGTCCCCCATCCCCAGCAGTCCTGTGAGCTGTGTCTCTCTCTCCTCCCTACCCCCCAACCCCCACCTCCTTAGCTGATGAGGTCAGTGAGGAGCCCTTCACGCTGAACTTCACCATCAACAACCTGCGCTACTCTGCCAACATGGGCCGCCCTGGCTCCCTCAAGTTCAACATCACAGACACCCTCATGCAGCACCTGGTGAGATGCTGCTTCTCTCTTCCCCTGGACCTCCTCCATGCCCATCCTGGGGCTCTTGCCTGACCCTGACCAACACTGGTTCCCTCTGCCCTCTCCAGCTCAGCCCCTTGTTCCAGAGGAGCAGTCTGGGTGCCCGATATGCTGGCTGCAGGGTCATCATGCTAAGGTGAGAATTGACTCCCACTCCCCACCTCCTCCCCGACCCACAGTCCACCAAGAAAGGACATGGACTTCCAAGTCCCCGGGGCTGTACTGCTTTGTTGTTTTATTTAAATTCTTTATTTTGTGACAATGCAATTTTTAAAAATTCATGTGTGTGTGTGTGTGTATTAAAAGCAGAGAGAAACAGAGATATTTCCCATCTGCTGGTTTATTCCCCAAATGCCCACAACAGCCAGAGCTGGGCCAGGCCAAAGCAGGGAGCCAGGAAACCATCTAGTTCTCGCATAGGACCCCTATTACCTGAGCTATCAGCTGCTGCCTCCCAGGGTGTGCATTAGCAGGAAGCTGAATTGGGAGTGGAGCTGGGACTCAAACCCAGGTTCTCCAACATGGGATCTTTAAAAAGTCTTAAAAAGCTGTATCATAATTGTTAGGCCAAAAGCTCACCCCATCTTCTTTTTTTAATTTTAAGACATTTATTTTATCATCTTCATTCCCCACTGTAACACAGTGGAGTCTCCATTGATAGGAGTTTTGTAACCCAGTGGCATTGATCATCAATGACATTCACAGTGTTGTGAAGCCATTGCCACTGCCACTGTCTGGGTTTTTTTTTTTTTTTTTTTTTTTTTTTTGATTTACTTATTTATTTAAAAGGCAGAGTTGGAGAGAGAGAGAGAGAGAGAGAGAGAGAAAGAGAATCAATCTTCCATCCTCTGGTTCACTACCCAAATGGTCACAACAGCCAGGGCTGGTTCAAGCTGAAGCTACAAGCCTGAAACTCCCGCACGAGTGGCAGGGACTCAAAGACTTGGGCCGTCTTCCATTGCTTTCCCAGGTGCATTAGTAGGGAGCAGGATAAGAAATGGAGCAGCTGGGACTTGAACCCGCACCCATATGGGATATTGGTGTTGTAGATGGCAGCTTCATCCGCTATGCCACAATGCCAGTCCCCTAGGGTGACTTTTGACCTCCGTCCTAAGGTGAGGATGAACTTGGCATATTCAGTGGGAAGTAGAGAGGCCACTGTGACCGGAGGAGAGGAGGGAAGGAGGGAGAAGATGAGATTCAAGACAACCACAGAGTCTTAACTGTGTATACTTTTGGAGGATTTTTATTTCATTAAATTTGTGGTAAAAACACATATAACATAAAATTTATCAGCTTGAGGGCCAGCATTGTGGCATAGCAAGCTAAGCTGTCACCTGAAATGGCTGCATCCTATCCCAGAGCACCAGTTCAATGAGTCCTGGCTGCTCTGCTTCTGGTCCAGCTCCCTGCTAATGTGCCTGGGAAAGCAGCAGGTGATGGCTCAAGTGCTTGGGCCTCTGCACCCAGATGAAGCTCCTGGCTCCTGGCTTTGACCTGGATCAGTCAGGTTGTTGCAGCCATTTTGGAAGTAAATCAGGGGATGGAAGATAATCTCTTTCTTCTTCAAATAAATAAATCTTAAATCTTTTTTACTATCTTAACCAAGTATACAGCTCAGAAGTATTAAACATTTTCACACTGTTATGCAACCAACACCACCAACCATATCTAGAACATTCTCATCTTCCCAATAAACATGCACTCCCCATCCCCTCTCCCCGGCCTTGGCGCCCACCACTCTATGAAAGTGATGATTCTAGGAATCTCCTATAAATGCAAACATGCACTGTATTATTTTTTTTCTGGCTTATGGCACTTAACATGTCCTCAAGGATTATCCATGTTGTGTCAGGATTTCCTTCCTTTTCAGGGCTGAATAATACTCCATCTGTATGTATGTGAACAGATTTTGTTCATTCATCCATTTGGACTTTGCTTTTTGTGTAGGGGTAGTCAATGCATTAGGCACTGGAGCTTCTACCTGTCAACAGTGACCTGGGCAGGTCCATCTCTTGCCTTCATGGAGGCCACATTCTAGAAGCCACAGGGACAAATAATTTATGATTACAAATAGGGCACCCAGTGCTACGACAGAGGAATTATGTAGGACTAGGGAAAATCCAGAGGAGGCACCGGAGGCAGCCTGGGAAGGTTCAGGAAGAAGGAGGAGGAGGAGGAGGAGGAACTGTCAAAGCTAAGACCTAAAGGATGACCAGGAAGTAACCCAGGATAGGAGTGCAGGGGAGGGGCATCCAGGCAGAAGTAACCACAGATGCACAGATCCTGAGGGACTGAGCATGGCCAGGTGGGGAATCTAGGAACGGTTCAGCAGAGCTGCAGTAGAGGCTATGAGGGCCTGTCCAGGTGGCCTATATCTCTCAAAGGTGTGCCTGTCCCTCCCCAGGTCTGTGAAGAACCATGCCCATACACAGGTGGACATCCTGTGTACCTACCGCTGGCCCCCTGGCAGCCCGCGGTTGTCTGCCAAGCGCGTGTTCCATGAGCTGAGCTGGCAGACCCGAGGCATCACCCAGCTGGGCCCTTACTTCCTGGACAAAGACAGCCTGCACATCGACGGTGAGCAGCCCATGAGGGGGGTCCACTGTATGGTTCTGTAGGCAGGAGACTCAGGAGACCACTAACCCTTCCCCCTTGGCCTCCTTGTGAGGGTGACACTTGATTAACCCCATCTCATAGATGAAGGAAACTGAGACCCAGATGGGTAAGACAGCTCCCTGCGGTGAGTGTATAGGGAGGGCAGTGAGACCCAGGTAGAGTCCTGGGTGCTGGCACCCAATGTCTGGCTTCACTCTATGACTATGGGTGGCAGAGGAGTGCTTCTGGGGGAAACCTGGGGAGAGAGGATACGTCTGTGTTCCTTCCCTGCTTTCCACCCTGGCCAAGGGGTGCATTTCCCTCTTGGGTGGGTCCCCTGGCAGGCAGGCAGCATAAACTCCTAGACAACTAGGAAGGGACAGCCCTCAGGATGGTGTCCCCTCTGTGGGCTTCTGCGAGAGGAGGCGAGGCTGTGAAATAGCTGAGGATCGAGCTTCCCTACCCTCTCCACCCTCAGCACCAGTGTGATGCCTGTCATCACCACTGCCCCAGGAGGCAGACAGGGAGATGTCCTGGACCTCCATGGCTTCTATTACAGCAAAAAGGGAAACTGAGGCATGGTTCCTGCCACTGTAAGTTTGCAGCCAGTCTGGATCTTTTTTTTTATTTCACTTATTCAGTTGAAAGTCAGAAATACAGAGAGAGAAGGACACAGAGAGAGAAATCTTCCATCCACTGGTTCACTCCTTAAAGGACTGCAATGGCCAAGGCTGGGCCAGGCCAAAGCCAGGAATCTAGAGCTTCTTCTGGGTCTCCCATGTGGGTACAGGGGCCCAAGCACTAGGGTCATCTTCTGCTGCTTTCCCAGGCCCATTAGCAGGGAGCTGGATTGGAAGTGGAACAGCCAAGACTTGAACCAGTGCCCAAATGGGATGCCAGCACTGCAGGCAGAGGCTTAACCTTCTACGCCACAGTGCTGGCCCCCAGGGTCTGGGTCTTGATGTCCTGATTTGGACACTGGTCCCTTTGATTTGGACATTGCAGGAGCCTGTTTGGGATTGGTCCCTTCGCCAACCACACAGTGTCCGTGCTTTGTTTTGTTGGTTTGCTCCGCATCTATCGGGCATCCACTATAAGCCAGGTGCCAGGAACAGAGATAGGTTATGTGCATTTTGTTCTAAGGTAAATGCCAGAGCGGGCAGGCATTGTTCTGTTCAGCACTATGAAGTGACTTCAAAAAGTTTATAGAAAGTAGAATTTAAAAATAGGCTTGTTTAGGGGAAAAACATTGTTGAAATCCATGCAGTTTTTTTTTCCATACCATGCATTTTCATGAACTTTTTGAAGATCTCTCATAGGCATGGATACCAAACATTTTTTGCACCTAAACAAAACCCTTTTTTAAAAAAGGATTTATACAGAGAGAGACAGAGACAGAGAACGAGGTTCCATCTGCTAGTTCACACCCCATATGGCTGCAATGGCTGGAGTTGGGCCAGGCTAAAGCGAGGAGCTTTTTCCAGGTCTCCCACATGTGTGCAGGGGCCCAGGGACTTGGGTCATTTTCTACTGCCTTCCAAGGCATATTAACAAGGAGCTGGATCGGAAGTGGAGCAGCCAGGACTTGAATTGGCACCTATATGGAATGCCAGCATTGGAGGCGGAAGGTTAACCTTCTGTGCATCAGCACTGATGTCAAAGAAACCATTTTTAAAAACATTATTTATTTATTTGAAAGGCGAGTTATATATAGAAAGAGGGACAGGCACAGAGAGAGATCTTCCAATGGTTAGTTCGCTCCACAAAATGCTGCAACAACCAGGGCTGGGCAAGGCCAAAGCCAGGAGCCAGGAGCTCTATCCATGTCTCACATGTGGGTGGCAGGGACCCAAGAACTCCAGCCATTTCCACTGCTTTCCTAGGCACATTAGCAGGGAGCTGGATTGGAAGTGGAGCAGCCAGAACTTGAACTGGCACTCATATGGGATGCCAGCATTACAGGTGGTGGCTTAACCCACTGTGCCATAATGCTAGTCCCTAACACACCTATCTATTATACCCATTTTCTCTTGAACTTTTTGAGTGCCTCATAGTAAGCCTCCAGTAAGTGTTTGCTGAATGGAGGGATAGATTAGAGGGAGGATAGAAAGGCAGATGGTGGAGTGGATGGATGGGTATGGAGAGGATAGATATGTGAATACAAATGTAATGGCGGCTTCTTGTTGGGAGCATGTTGGAGACACTGGCAGAGAAGAATGGGTACTAACTGAAATATCAGAAAAATCTTTTTTTTTTTTTTTTTTTTTTGAGAAGAGGTGACATTTAAGTCAAATCTTGTATGGTGAGTACATCTTCACCAGGTGCATGAAGGGAGATCATCCAGGCAGGGCACTGCATGGACAAAGGCAGGGAGTACCTAGGGCTGTTCTTCTACCTGCCCTGACTCTCATCTATTTGTTTGCAGGTTACAATGAACGTGGGCCAGATGAGCCTCCTACAAGTATGTTGTCTTTGAATCTTGTGCCCATTTCAACCTCTGCGGGCCTGGCACCTTTCTCCTTACTCACAGAGGGAGTTTTCCCCAAACTCAGTCTCCTGAGTAGGGCCGAGGTCTCAGAGGGAAGAAGAAGGCCGAGTCCTTGGCCTGTCACCTGTAACCATGGTATTGGTGCTCTGAATTTGCCTTGCCCCTCTAGGTTGAAGGTCTTTGAATAATTGTTCCCTGTAGAGATAGGAACTGGGGTCCAATGACAGCTCTGTGGGCCATGCCTCCCAAGAGCAGAAGCTCCAGGGTCTCTGGGAGGGGCGTTGTTGTGGTCAAGCTGTGAACTCGAGAGCCTGCTGAAGTTTCCCATTCTCATCCAGCAATCCGCTCATCTACCTTTCCAGCCATCCCTTCTTTCACCCTTCCAATCATCTTAGATATCGCCCTCCTGTCCATTTCTCTACTGTCCACTCGTTCTCCCGCCCAGGCACGTGCCTGTTCATCCTTCCTTCTGTCCATCCATCCACACGTATGTCCACCCATCTTCTGCCCATTCACCTGCTTCTCCTCTCTTCTTCTCTCCTTCCATTGATAATCCATCTGCCCACTCATTCTCCTGCCTACTCACTTGCTTGTCTTTCATTTCATTGGTCTTTGCACCCACCTGCCCATGCTTCCATCCAGCCATCCTGCCCACTCGCCTGCTTCTTCTCCTTCCCTCTGTCCCTTCTTCCTTCTGTCCTTCCATCTTTCCAACTTTTCCTTCTCGTTTTTTTTCTTCCTGCCTTCTCTTCTGACCCTCCACTTGTCCATTTCTTCTTTCTCATTGTCCACTTATCCCTTTGGCTTTTCTGCCAGTTCATTCATCTTTCCTCCTTATTCAGCCTTTCTCTGGCTCACCCACTCGCCCACTCAGGTTAATTTCATTCATTGGCTTGATCACTCACCCTCTCATATAGTCTCTTCTCATTCTCAGTTATATGCCACCTGCATATAACTGAATGGTAGCCTCAGAATGGACAACCACTGTTAAAAGTCCAGGCTTTTCCCACTATGGGGGAGCTCGGTCCCTCCCTGATGATAACTCTTTCCACAGCTCCTGAGCCAGCCACTGCATTACCGACTTCTCCATCAACATCTGTGTGGCCAGAAGCCACCACAGGTATCTGGGGGCCCCGTTTCCTCCCCAAGGGAAGTTCCTCGGCCCCATACCGCCAGCGGCTGATTGTCACATGAGAGCTGGGAAGCCAGGGAGTGAGGATTCTGGTGTCACAGTGATGATCCTGTTTACAAGGATTAGCAATTCAATTAGCAATTCAATCAGATCTCTGCCCTATTGTGAGACAAGGAGTCCACTATAAAACAATGGCAGGTGTTTTTGGGGAGAGTCACCTGGCTTAATATGGAGGAGACAAGGCTTTCTGGAGGAAGTATCACCTAAACTGAGTTTTCAAAGATGGGTAGGGATGGTCCAGGCAAGCAGGGCATGATGGGTGTTCCCGGCAGAGAGGTTTCCATGAGGAAAGGCTCAGTGGCCAGAAATAGCACAATGCACGTGGGAGAATGGAGAGGAGTTGGTTTGCATGAGGCATAAAGCTTACTCCAGTGTGGATGGACAAGTAAGGCTGAAAGGCCAGCAGGAGCCACGCTGGGAAGGGCCTTGAATGCCGAGCCAAGGGGCTTGCATGTTAACACTGAAGGGCATAGGGAATTACAGGCAGCACCGGAGCGCAAGTCCTGATGAGAATTCCATTTCAGCAAGATTCTTCTAGTGTTCAGTGTAGGGAGCGTCTTTTAGGTCAGGCATCCAGCGAATGTCCTGGGGTGCTAGGACAGGTAAGAGAAGGTAACACCTGGGCTGGGACGGGGACAAAGAGAGAAGAACACTTCGATGGGATGAGTGCTACTCACAGGGGAGGAGTTACATAGTTTCTGACCTGGATGGCCACAGAACAGGTGGTGGTTGTGGGCCTGCTGCTGGTGACAGATGCTAATGGGAACAGGACTGTGACCTGCTCTCAGGCCATCTCTCCCTACCTTCCTGCAGCCACAGGGCACACCCTGAAGACCTTCACACTCAACTTCACCATCTCCAACCTCCACTATTCACCAGACATGGGCAACGGGTCAGCCACACTCAACTCCACTGAGCGGACCCTGCTGTATCTGGTGAGATCTTGGCCCCAGCATTTCCTGGTGGGATAAATCCTGTGCCTCCATCCTGCTTACTCGCCTCCTGCTTTCTCCCCAGCTCGGATCCATGTTCCAGAACAGCAGCCTGGGTCCCTCCTACTCAGGCTGCAGACTGACCTCTCTCAGGTAACTCCCACCCCCTCTTTTTTGTGACCGCTCCTTTCTCAGTCTGTTCTCTTTCCCTTGTGCTGCTCCTTACTTCTGGTCCCTAACCCCAGAGGTCTCAGAACCTCTCTAGAGACCCCTCATCCCTCTCTCCCTAGGTCTGAGCAGGACAGGGTGGGCACTAGCGTGGATGTCATCTGCACCTATCGCCCTGACCCCACGCACCTGGTGCTGGATGTGCAGCAGCTGTATGGAGAGCTGAGCCAGCTGACCCATGGTGTCACCCAGTTGGGCCTGTACAGCTTGGACAAGGACAGCCTATTTGTCAATGGTGAGTGGTGATGCTGAACTTGGATTGACAGTGACCATCACTTGTCCCTGTTCCATTTCCTTTCCTCTCCAGAAAGTCAGCCCCAGAGTTGGCAAGGGGACACCTTTCTCCACACTACCCCTGGAGGGTCTTCCCATTATTTTAGGCAAATAAGCATGAGATTCTTTGACCACATTAATGTCATGAATTTTATTTTTGTAATTCTTTATTTCTCCTTCACTGATTTTTCTAGCTTTGTTAAGATACAACTGGCAGGTAGAATTGTACACATTTAAGATATACAGTGTGCTAGTGTGATATATCCTTTGGCCCTTCTGTCCATCTGTTCATCCATTTGTCTGTCTATCCACCTATCTATAGGTACATCTTGTGAGATGATTATCACAACCTAGCCAGCTAATACATCTACAACTTCACACAGTTACTGTGTGTATATGTGTAAGAGACAGAATATTTAAGGTCTATTCCCTTAGAAAGTTTCAAGCATCCTATATGAAAGTACTTTTAAAAATTCATGGAAAAATGGAATTAAAAGATAAGTTTATTTGGGTGCCAAAACCATATTGAAATCCATGCATAGGTTTTTCCATGTACTTTTGAAGGCTCCCTGTGGAGTGTTATTGATGACAGTTACTATGCCTTATGATACATCCCCACAGCTCATTATTATAACTGGAAGCATGTACCCTTTGACCGATATCTACCCATTCTCTCTTCCACCACTGCTCCTGGTAATCACCATCCTACTCACTTCCACAAGTTAGATTCTGTGTGTAAGTGAAATCACATAGTATTTGTCTTTCTCTGATGTATTTCCCTTAGCCTAATGCCCTCCAGGCTCATCCATGACGAATTTTAATTCAAACTCAAATGCCTGGCCCTTGGGATCCTCTGGGACAGAATCGTGGGTTCTTCTGTACACGGTCCCTGTGTGCTGGGGCTCTGTGCCTGGGGAGGGGGGAGCAGTTCTGCTCCCCAGGGAACATTAGGTACTATCTGGAGACATTGTCAGTGGTCACAATTGGGGGAAGTGCCTCTAGCATCCAGTGTGTGCGTGGGGAACATCTGGCCCATGGGCCAGAGAAGGCCTCAAAATCTTTTTGTCCAGCCTTGCCAAGGCAACTGCAGGAGGGACTCGGAATTCAATAAATCTATACCAGGCTAATTTGTAAGGTGATTAATTTTGTGTGGCCTGTGAATGACATTATAAATATCCACATAGTCCCGGGCAGAAGAAAGGTTTCCCAGCACTGCTCTCGTGCATACAGTCAAGGCATTGTGCAAAGCAGAGGAGACCCCTATGACATAGCACCAAGTGCCAGTCAGTCCCGGGGTGGCACACCCTGTGTACATGGCCCCGTAGTCCCTAGATGGGCATCAGTGACCAGTACTTTACTCTAATTCCTTGTTGACTTATCTGATCATTTCTTAAATGTGAGCTCTGCAAAATTTGGGTCTGTAGGGTATGGCAATTTAGTCCTGGTTTTCAATATGTTGGCACATTACAGTATGGAGTGAATGAGTGAATTAATGAGCAAATGATAGATAAACATCCCAGCCTCGCCCCCCCCATCACCATCACATTCATTCATTCAACACATACTCCTATATGGTTGACTGTGCTTCCCCAAGCTCTGTGCTGCATATGGAGATAGAAGCACAATTTCTGCCCCTGAAAAATCCACATTTAATTCAACTGAAGATTAGTTGGTGGCAGTTAAACTGCAGGCAATTCCATATTGGAATGCACCACTCCTGCTAATGTGCACCCTAGGAGACAGGGGGTGATGACTCAAGTATTTGGGTCCCTGTCACCCATGTGAGAGATGCGGATTGATTTCCCAGCTCCCAGCTTCAGCCTGGCGCAGTCCTGGCCACTGCAGGCATCTGGGGAGTAAACCAGCAGATGAGAGATTTCTGTCTGTCTCTGTCTCTCAAATAACTAAAACTGATACACAACATTTTTTAAAAAGAAAGCTCCATTCAGAAGAACTCCTGGGAAACTGCACCTTCCTCCACTTCAGAGTGACTTTCCGTTTGGGAACCCCTGCCACCCCCAACAAGCAGACTTGATCTTGGCTGAGTTTGTCTGCAGGCAGGGGACCTCCCTGGGCCATCCTGGCTCTGTGCAAAAACTGAAAGATTGGCTCCTGTCTTTGCTTTCTCTCTGTGGTTCTAGGCTATGCACCCCAGCACGTGGCACCCATCTGGAGCGAGTACCAGCTTGATTTCCACATAATCAACTGGAACCTCAGCAAGGCAGATCCCAGCTCTGTGGAGTACCTTGCTCTGATGACGGACATCCAGGACAAGGTGCAGCCTTCTGCCCAGCCCCTCACTGCCCCATCTGACTCACAACTCTTCTAGTCCATTTTCTGTCGCCAGCAACACAATCCCACAGATTCCATCAGTTATGCAGAAGAGAGGGGGCAGGCATTTGGGGCAGAAGTTAAGATGCTAGTTGGGACACTCACATCCCATATCAGAGTGCCTGGCTTCAAGTCCCAGCTTTGTTCCTGACCCCAGCTTCGTGCTAGTGCACACCCGGGAGGCGGCAGCGATAGCTCAAGAACTGGGGCCCCCTGCCATGCACACGGGAGACTCAGGCAGAGATCCTGACTCCCTGGCATTTGGGGAGTGAACCAAAGGGTGGGAGCTCTTTGTCTGTCTCTGTCTTTCTGCCTCTTGTTTTGATTCATGGTCAAGTCCAAGATCAAGGGGTTCTGTCTGGAGATGGCCTTCTGACTGGCAGAGTCCTGAGGCAATGCAGGACATTATGTGGCAAAAGACAGGAAGTGTGCATGTGTCTGTGTCTCCTGGTCTCTGTCCCTCTTCTCAGAAGGCCACCAGGACCCACTTGTGGGGGATCCATCCTGATGACCCTATTGAGTTGTAATCACCTCCTAATACTATACCTTTGCTCACTACAGTCAGAGTAGGAGTTCCCTTCCTCTTCAGACTCTGCAATGGAAATTAAGCTCCAGCATAATTTTCAGAAGGGACAGATCAAACTCAAACCATAGTGATATGTATCAAGTGATTATTTCAATTCTTCTCTCTATCTGCATGTTTTGGGTTTTCTCAGCTTCTGCAGATGGTGCCTGGGTTGACTTCCTCAGTTCCCAAATGGCCAAACTGAGGCTCAGAAAGGAGCCCAGTGTCCCTGAGGTCACACAATAAGTTAGGGATGGAGCCATGATTTGCTTTCTATTTTTGCTTCAGTGTCTGGGTTCCTTTCTACAGGCTCCAGAGGCCCTTCCACCCGCAAGAACTGTCCATCTCACACACTCTCCTTACATGTCATCCTTCTAGGTCACCAGACTCTACACAGGGAGTCAACTACGAGACGTGTTCAACTCATGCCTAGTCACCAACTTAACGTGAGTTCTGCAGGCTGGAAGTGCCAGGCTGAAAAACACAGAGAACCTTTAAAGAATAATGGCTTTTTTTTTTTTTTTAAGGAATAGCGTTACATGGGGAGTACACAGCTATAGTGAACTACGAGCATATCCAAGGAGGTTGAGGCAAGGGGAACATTTTTCTTTTTCCTGTTTTTTAAAAAATTTTCATTTACTTAGTTTTTATGGCAGAGTTAGAGAAAGAGAGAGCGAGAGAGCAAGAGCACATGCTTCCATCCACTGGTTCACCCCCCAAAATAGGCGCAACAGCAGGAGCTGGGCCAATCTGAAACCAGGAGCAAGCCAGGAGCCTTCTCTGGGTCTCCCACCTGGGTGCAGGAGCCCAGAGACTTGGGCCATCTTTCACAGCTTTCCCAGGTACACCATCAGGGAGAGGAAGTGGAGCAGCTGGAACTTGAACTGGCACTCACATGGGATGCCAGTGCCATAGACAGCAGCTTTACCCAGTATGCCACAATGTTGTCCTCAAACAGAAAGCTTTAAAGGCAAAAAGGGAAAGGCTTTATGTAAGCCTCTTGGATTTTGAGCTCGCTGGTCTTGGAGGCCTGGGGCCTCAGCTCGCTGGTGGAGGTACCATGGCTGGCTGAGTGGTCTGTGGGCAGTACTCTGTCTGAATTGTTGCAGTCTTGAGGAATGCTAAAGGCAAATTCTGTCCCACAGCTCTGTGCACACCTGCAAGGCATGAAGAGCATGCAGTGTAAGTGCGCCTCTAGAAAGACCCTGACAAAGTGCTTATCTCAGGCAGGCAAGAAGGAGCCTGCCCCTCCTCATGACTTCCTGGCCCAAATTTTGTCCAGGTCTAACAAAAACAATTTCATCTTGGAACCATTCATTTTTAAAAAGATTTGTATTTATTTATTTATTTATTTATTTCAAAGAGTGGCAGAGAGAGGGAGAGATCTTCATCTGCTGGTTCACTTCCCAAATGACTGGGTGGCAGGGGCCCAAGCACTTGGGTCAACTTTGGCTTTTTTTCCTGAGTGCATTAGTAAGGAGCAGGATTGGAAGTGGAGCAGCCAGGATTCAAACTGGCGCTCATATAGGACGCTGATGTCACAGGCAGTAGCTTAACCTGCTGTGCCACAATGCCAGCCCTGGTACCATCCACTTTCACAGAAGCATTGTCTGAGCTGGTGAACTGTGTCTCTGAGCTTCTGTGACATGTCCATCAGCTGGAAGTCTCCAACATAGTGTCCATTCTTCCTCCCACTCCACATCCCTGTCAGCTACTCCATCTTACTTCCATAGATTTAAGGGTAGTGGAAGGGGACTCACCTCATGTGGCTGCAAACCCTACCACTGCCTACTTTGCTTCTGGATTCTTAGAAAAGACTTTTTGATGTGAAGAACTCAAAATATCAGCCCAATAATAATACTGGGGCCATCAATCTGCTGAACACTTCCCTGCATGACCATCTCACTGGATTCTCACGATAGCCCCTGGGAGGGGGACACAACAATCATCCCCATTGTTCAAATGGGAAAACCAAGGCTCAGAGAAGGAAAATGGGTTTCCCAAGGACTGTTAAAGTTGGGAATTGAGCCCAGGTCTCTGAAGGGACCAAGACATCTGTACCGGGGAAGAGGAGGGGGTTCTGTGATACAGAACTGACCTTGAATATGTCCAAACTTCATTTCATCTTTAATATAGGAAGAATTATTTTTAAAAAAGATTTTATTTTCTTGAAAGACAGAGGTACAGAGAGAGGGAGAGACAGAGGGAGAGAGAATATTCCATCTGCTGGTTCAATTCCCAAATGGCCACAACGGCCAGGGTTCGGCTATGCTAAGTCAAAGCCAAGAACCTGGAACTCCATCAGGGGCTTAAACCTGGGAGACAGAAGCCTAAGTATTCAGTGCATCTTCCACTGCTTTCCCAGTCTCATTAGTAGGGAGCTGGATTGGAAGCAGAGCAGCCAACATGTGAACCAGCACTCATATGGCATATTCATATGGGCACTCATAGCCCACTGTGCCACAATGGTGGCCCCATAGTATAGGGACACTTAAAATAATACTCACCACCAGAGTGATGGTGAGGGGTCCTGATACACAGCAACTGCTCAACACATGTTCATTATTGTAACTGTTATTGCTGCTAGCTCTAATTCCTGGAAGCTTTCCCCATGTTAGTCAGGATCTATTCTTGAGAATGGGGAAGGAGGTAGCTAGACAAACCCCTACTGCCTTCCCCTAGGTCTCTGGCTCTTTAAAGATAACAATGTGAGATACTGCTAGTGCTGAGTGCTGGCTGAGTCCCCACGGTCTCTGTCACTAGGTCGGGCTCTCTGTTGGTCACTATGAAAGCACTGTTCTCCTCCAATCTGGACCCCAACCTGGTGAAGCAAGTTTTTCTAGAAAAGACCTCGAATGCCTCATCCTACTGGCTGGGCGCCACCTACCAGTTGATGGATCTGCATGTGACAGGTATGAGGTGGGGAGGCTAGGTTCATGGTTGGATGAGATGGGGGCTCTGAGGAAGGCTGGAGTTGGAATGCGCAGCGGCTCGAGATGGGAGAAGGGGACATTCTGCAGGTCCAAGCTGATGTCCCAGGCAATGGGTCATCCAAGAGAAGCAGGAGGAGAACATGTAGCAATTACACTCAAGGCAATGGTCATTTCTTTTTCCAGGTAAATTTTTCCAAACCCAGATGTGGAGGATCCTGAGTTCTTTGCTTAGGTCTCCCAGTTATGAGTCATACATTCACTCATTCACCAAATAGCTTTTTTTTTTAAAGTAGAACATAATATGCACAATTATGGGGTAGAGTATGGCTATATGGTAGTTCAATACATGCATGTAATGTGCAATGATCGAATCTGAGTACTTTTTAATTCCATTTTCTTAAACATTGATCATTTCTTTGTGTTGGGAACCTTCAAACTCCTTTCTTCTAATTCTTTAGATAACATATAATAGATTATTTTAAACAGTAGTCACCCTTGCTGTGCTATAGAATACTAGATGCCTCTGATTCAGGCCTCGTTATCCAAACTCCCTCTATCTCCCCTTTTACCTCCCTCTCCCAGCCTCTAGTCTCCTCTATTCTACCTCCCACTGTCATAAAAACTTTTTTGGCTTCTATGTGAGTGTGACACATTTGTTTTTCCTTATGTGGACCATTTCACTTGCCGTAGTATCCACTTCCTTCCAAGCAGATTCAAGAAATACATAGTGAAGGTAAACAGACACTGCTATAATGAAGGGACTTCCAGAGACTCTGGGAAGCCCAAGGAGAGACACAGCCCTGTGTTGGAAAGTTTGCTGTAGGGAGTGATGAACAAAGGTGAGAGACAGGACCCAGCCAGGGGACAAAGACAGAGGATGTGCTCCGTGAATCTATAACCAAGATTCCAGAAAGACTGTGGCATACACAGGGAAGTCATAAGAGGCTTGCTGTGGTTGGAGAATGCCTTCGCTAGTGGAAAGGGACTGATAAAGCCAAGGACAGAGGCAGGTACTGGAATGGCTTCAGGAGGGACACAAATTCTCGGAGTTTTGCTTTAGAAAGATCTTCCTTTGGACACTGTATAGAAGATGGGTTGGAAGGAAGAAGGCCAGAGGCAGGAAGACCCACTAGGAAACTAAAGCATCAATCTAAAGTTTCAGAAGAGTTGTGTGAGGTGTATGACAGATGCCCACTGGGGTGAGCAGCACCTGCCCAGACAGACCTTACCTCCTCCTCTCTGTGTTGCAATGAACTCTCATAATGCATGGTGGAAGCAAGAGCTGGACACATGGACTGGTAGCTAACTGCAAGGTGGGCAGGTAGATGGGGGCCTTCTGGAACCCATCTTTAAAAACCTAGCTCAGGTCACATTGCCAGGAATAAGTAGGCTGGCTTGGATGACCTCTCGTGAAACCTCCCTTGATATGGGATTTTTTTTTTTTTTTTTTTTACTTCTAGAAGTGAGGCCAGCAGTTCATCTACCTACAGAAAAACCAACAAGAAGTCCCAGTTCCCAGCAATTCCAGCTGAATTTCACCATCACCAACCTGTTCTACTCCCAAGACATAGCCCAGGAAGGCAGTGCCAAATACCAGTGGAACAAAAGAAGTATTGAGGACGCGGTGAGAATGGGGTTGTGTCCATTCTCTTCCCAGGTGGGGGCTGACCTCAGCATACTGAGTACTCAGACATGACCTTTTAGAAGAGTTCACAGAGACAGGTTTTTATTCCCATTTACACATTAAGTACCAGGCACAGAGGGTCGGTGACTGACCCAGGGTCACACAGCCAAGTCATACTCTGAAACAGGATGCACTCTGCTGCACATACCTGGGCTAGTGCTTTTGAAACAAGAAAAATAAAAAAAAAAAATAAGAGATGTCTGCTTAGCGGCTCTAACTTCTTTTGCCACCCGGCTTGGGGTTCTGACCTAAGAAACACTGCGTTGTCTTTCAGCTCAACCAGCTCTTCCAAAACAGCAGCGTCAAGAGTTACTTTTCCGAATGTCAAGTTGTAGCATTCCGGTAAGTTCCAACTCAGGACTTAATGGTTCTGGGGACTTCTGCTGTCCTTTGAAGAGGAGAGTACTTCAAAAAGTTGATGGAAAGACAGGTGTTTGGCCTTACAGTTGAGATGTTTGTTATGATACCTGCATGCCATATGGAGTGCCTGGGCTTGAGTCCTGGATAACACTTGTAGAGGAAGCAGGTGATGGCTCAAAGTACTTGGGACCCTGCCACCTACACAAAAGACCTGGACTGAACTCCCAGCTCTCAGCTTTGGCCTCAGTCCATTGTGAGCCTTTGGGGAGTGAACCAATAGACGGGAGCTGTGTGTGTGTGTGGTGTGTATGTGTGTGCATGTCTGTGTCTCCTTCCAAAATAAATAAATCCAAAACTTCATGGAAAATGGAGATAAAATTAAAACTTATTTTGGTGCAATAGTTTCTCAGTACCTGACTATTATGGAAGATAACCCTGGGAATATATAGCTGTCATCCAAAATCCAGCTTCTTCCTAAACCATTGAGCCCTGCTACCTTAGGACACAAGAGGGCTTGTGTAGCCCTAGCAGGCATGGAGGTCTCTGACGCTGGACACTGTGCAGTCTAGAATGCAGAGCTGACTTAGGGATAGGACACAAGAGGGCTTGTGTAGCCCTAGCAGGCATGGAGGTCTCTGACGCTGGACACTGTGCAGTCTAGAATGCAGAGCTGACTTAGGGATAGGACACAAGAGGGCTTGTGTAGCCCTAGCAGGCATGGAGGTCTCTGACGCTGGACACTGTGCAATCTAGAATGCAGAGCTGACTTAGGGAATCAGCTACTGGAGCAGGCATTGTAGCACAGCAGGTTAAGCCACACTTACCCCCTATCAGAGTGCTGGTTCAGTCCTGGGTACTCTGTTACTCTTCTTTTTAAGATTTATTTATTTATTTATTTATTTATTTATTTATTTATATGAAAGGCAGAATTACAGAGAGAGAGGGTGGGTGGGAGGGGAGAAGGAGACAAAGGGAGGGAGGGAGGGAGGGAATGATCTTCCATCTGCTGGTTCACTCTCCAAATGGCTGCAACAGCCAGGACTACGAGCTTCTTCCAGGAAGACCTGGAAACAGATCTTCCACATGGGTGCAGAGGCCCAAGCACTTGGACCATTCTCCGCTGCTTTCCCAGGCTATTAGCAGGGAGCCGGATGGGTAGCAGAGCAGCTGGGACTCAAACTGGCACTCACATGGTATATCAGCATTGTAGGCAGTGGCTTAACCCACTATGCCACAGTGCCAGCCCCAAAACTGCTTCTAATCCAGCTCCTTGCTAATGTACCTGAGAAGCATCAGGAGACACCTTAAGTACTTAAGCCCTTGTCACCCTTGTGGGACACTCAGATGGAGCTCCTGGATCCTGTCTTCAGTCTGGCCCAGCCCCATTTGGGAAGTAAACCAGTATATGCCAGATCTCTCACTCCTCCCTTCCCCCCTCCCCTCCCCCTCCCTCTCCATCTCCCTTTCAAATAAATAAGTAAATCTTAAAAAAGAAATCAAAACATCAAACAGTCTTTTGGAATAATAAAAAAGAACTCAGCATCCAAAATAAGAATCCACCAAACATGGGGGCTAGAACCAGATGACTTAGAATCCCGCAGCTGGATTGTGCTATCCAGCAAGGGAACTGTGAACCACACGTGCTCATTTATATTTTACAACAGCCAAGGAGATGTAATTCAGACACCATGCAATCACCCTTGAAGAGCAAAATGTGGCTGTATACTCACTGGGGAGTGCAACTCAGAAAATGCTTGGTGGGAAGAGAGTTGGACAGGGGGACAGGTCTAATTTTAGATCCTTTTCACCACCCTAGAAAGAAATCACCCCACCACAATTCCAAAATCACTTGATTACAAGTGGTCTTGGGAATCTGCTTGACAATCAACTAAGTCCATTATTCTCTCCAACTCACCTCAATTCACCTTTTCTCTCTTTAAAAAAATTATTTATTTATTTATTTGGAAGGCAGAGAGAGGAGGAATGGGAGACAGAGGAAGAGAGAGACAGAGAGATTATAGACAGACAGAAAGATTGATCAGTCTTCAATTCACTGGTTCACACTCCAGGTGGCCACAAGAACTGGTGTTGGGCCAGGCAGAAGTCAGGAGCCAGGAACTCCACCTTGGTCTCCCTCGTGAATGTCAGGGGCTCAACACCTGGGTCATCTTATGCTCCTTTCCCAGGTGCATTAGAAGGGAGCTGGATTGGAAGTGGAGCAGCTGGGACTCAAACTGGCATCCATATGGGATGCTGACATTACAGGTGGCAGCATAACCTGCTGCTTTATCAGCCTTCCCCTTTCTTTCTGAAAAAGAGATTTATTTGAAAGCCAGAACAACACAGACAGAGACACAGAGAGAGCGTCCATCTAGCAGTTCAGCCATCATGAACTGTCTTTCAGGGTTGTTAGCGGGAAGCTGGAATCAGGAGCAGGACCACCATTCAAACCCAGACACTTTATCTGGGATGTGGGTGTCCCAAGCGACATCTGAAGTGCTAAGCTGAATGCCCATCCTGGCTATTAATTAATTAAACTAGAAATTCTTCACCCACCCTAGCCACATTTTAAGTGTTCCATCACACCACGAGGCTAATAACCGTTTTTGCTTAATTCAGATACTGCAGAAAGCTCTGGAGAGGGCCTGGGAGCAGGAAACATAGAATCAGAGCAGAGCATCAGTTTTGCTTATCCCCTTGTGCCCTTCCAGGTCTGTCCCCGACAGCGACCATACCAAAGTGGACTCCTTGTGTGGCTTCTCATCTTTGGCTCGGAGACTGGACAGAGTCATTATCTATGAGGAGTTTGTGCAGATGACCAAGAATGGTACTCAGTTGCAGAACTTCACCCTGGACAGGGACAGCATTCTTGTGGACGGTAAGGCTCCGTGGTCATCAGGGCTGCAGTGGAGGCTCCAACCTCCACTCCTTCCCAGGCAATCTGGAGGTCCAGAAATGAATCCACGTTGGACTTGTTCAGCCTGGGAGGAGGCAGCGTGGTTCCTGCAGGTCCTCACCACCCTTGAGGAAGAGACCTGGGAGGCTTTCACTCTCTGCTGGCTTGCTCTGTGACCTCAGGCTAGGGTCATCTCCTCTCCAGACTTCTTAATTTATACACTGCAAGACACTCAGGGAGGTGGTCAATGAGGGCTTCCAAGTCCAAGCCATGTGGTATCCATCCTCTACAGAAGCAGCCAGAGCTGCCTCTCCAGTGACTTGCATTTCCAAATTTCCCCCAAAGAATGGTTGTGTATGTTATACTATGCACCATAAATGAAGTAGGAGACAGTGGCTTTGTCTGCTTGTTTACTCATTTTCCAGGAACCCTGTGTTCTGCCTGACCCACAATAAACACCCACCACATACTGAAGAAATAACTAGACCTCTACAAGGTCCCATATGGGGTGTCACTCTCATGGTATGGGTATCGCCCTTGGTTCTGCGTTGTTACACAACATAGTGCTAGAACAGGGAGAAGACACTTTTTTTTTTTCCATTAAGGGCCAGATAATAATAATTTTTAAAAATTAGGTCTTGTAGACCACATCTGCATATGGCCTATGTCACCTGTTTTTCTTGTTTCATCAAATCTTTTAAAAAAATGAAAATCAAGGATGGGTGTTTGGTCTAGTGGCTAAGAAGCCAGTTAGGATGCTTGCATCCCATATCACAGGGCCTGAGTTCAAGTCCTGACTTGCTTCTCCATTCTAGCTCCCTGATAATGCACACCCTGGGAGGCAGCAGGTGCTGGTTCAAGTAGCTGCATCCCATATCACAGTGCCTGGATTGCAGACCCTCTGCTCCAGTTCTTGTCTTCCCACTAATGTTCAGCCTGGGAGGGAGTAGGTCATGGCTCAAGTATTTGGGTTCCTGTCATCTACTTTGAGAACCTAGATTGAGTTCTTGGATCTTGGGTTCAGCCTAGCCCAGCCTCAGCTGTTGTGGGTGTTTGGGATGGAAGATCTCTATCTCTGTCTCTCTGCCTTTCAAATAAATAAAATGTGCAAATGAACATCTTAAAGAAAGAGTAAAAAACTCACTCGCATGGACTCTCTACCCCATTCATTTCCAGGGTATTCTCCAAGCAGAAATGATGCTGTGATTAGGAATTCAGGTAAGGCTCAAATCACCCCCACCACCGCCCTGGGTAGAGAAGGTGCAGCCTGATGCTTTGCCTCATCAAAGAGCACCAAGCAAGAAGGTCACATTGATAACTGGCCAACCCATGGCCAGGACTGTTGAGGCACCATGGGAAGACAGCAGGTGTTCTGGTTTGTGCTGGGGTGGGGAGGAGGGCACTCTTGAAGGGCTTCTGAGCCATGAGATGTTGATCAATATCTTCCCTGAGTCTACACCCACCCTTGGGCTACACAGGGTCCAAGAGGGAGGCACGGGAGGGTGGTAGGTGGAGGCTCATCCCGGCCCTTGTCTCTCCACAGACCTTCCCTTCTGGGCCATCATCCTCATCTGCCTGGCTGCATTCCTGGGACTCATCACGTGCCTGGTCTGCTGCTTTCTGGTGAGCAGGGGAGGCTTCCTTGTCTTCTTGTTAGCGGGCTGTCAGGAGTTCTAATGCAGCTGTGCACTGCAAGATGGTGCTGAGGTCACTGGAGAGCCACATGTACCATGCTGGGTGCAGGAGGTCTATCACCCAGTGACACTGTAGCCATCTTAGCTGAAGTACACTTCAGGACATTCCTACAATTATGAAATCACCCAACGAGGCACTTCTTAGAACAGATCCCTGTCCATCAGCAACAGGTGACTGTCTACAAAGGTACTTCAAAAAGCTCAAGGAAACATGGAATTATTTCTATGGCTAAGCAGGTTAAATATCACTTGTGACACCAGCAGGCCATGCTGGAATCCCAGCTTTTCCACTCTGATCCAGGTCTCTGCTAATGCACCTTAGAAGGTTGCAGAGGACAACCCAAGTGCTTGGGCGACTGCCACCCATGTAGGAGACCTGGATGGAGTTCCTGGCTCCTTGCTTCTTACTGGTCCAGACCTGGGTGTGGTGACCATTTGAGGAGTGCACCAGCAGATGAGACATATTTCTCTCTCACACTCTCTCTGGCCCCATCTTCTTCCCTTCTCTCTGTTGCTTTGCTTTTCAAATAAATAAGTTTATTTTCATGTAAATTTTTTGAAATTTGTGCATATGGAGATTATTAAAAACTTTCAAGAAAATTGGATATTATAAAAACCCCAAATGTGGACTTCAAAATTCTTTCATACTAAAATAATCTTTAATTCCATTTTTTTTCACAAACCTTTTAAAGTGCCCTTGTATGTATGTGTGTGTATATATATATCTATCTATCTATATATATATACTTAATAGATCTTATTTATTTATTTGAGAGGCAGAGTTACAGACAGTGAGAGGGAGAGACAGAGAGATAGGTCTTCCATCTGCTGGTTCACTTTCCAAATGGCCACAACGGCCAGAGCTGCGCCAATCCAAAGCCAGGAGCCAGGGACTTCTTCTGGGTCTCTCACACTGGTGCAGGGGCCCAAGTGCTTGGCCCATCTTCTACTGTTTTCCCAGAACACAGCAGAGAGCTGGACTGGAAGAGGAGCAGGCGGGACTAGAAACGGCACCCACGTGGGATGTCGGTGCCACAGGCGAAGGATTAACCTACTGTGCCATAGCACCAGCCCCTACTGGGGATGTTTTGCAAATATCTTCTCTCCATCTGTGCATGATTTAGATTTTTAATTTTAGTTTTTAACCTTATTTGAACTGACAAATAATAAATGTGGATATAAATATATGTGTGTGTATATATAGAGAGAGCGAGAGAGAGAAAGAGTTCAATGTGATGCTTTGCTCTGGGTATATATCACAGGATGACTAAATCAAGCTGATGAACGAATCCATCACCTCTCATGCTTATCTATTTTTGTAGTAGGAGTATCTGAAACCTACTATTGGTAATTTTTGAAATATACATGACATTTGTTTCAATTATATTCATCATGTGGTGACATAGAACTCAAAATCTTATCATTAGTCATCACGAATGTGGAAGTCACCGATACCACTATGCATAAGAATGGCTGAGGTCAAAGCAATGACTGTACCAAGTGCTGACGAAGATGTAAGGCGACTGAGAGTGCCAGTGGGAAATAGCTTGGCCATTTCTTTGAAAGTTACATGTCTACCTTATGACCCAGCCACCCACCCATAGTAAGCCATCTAAGAGAGATATGAATGTGTGTCCATGTAAGGACTTGTACACAAATGTTCAGGACAGCTTTGTTTGTAATACCCAAACCAGAAAATAATCCCAGGGTCCATCAACCAGCATTTCCCAACAACAGAATAGTATTCAGCAACAAAAAAGAAAGAGTTATTTTTTTAAATATTAATTTACTTGAAAGGCTGAGTCACACACACACATACACAGAGAGAGAGAGAGAGAGAGAGAGAGAGAGAGAGAGAGAGAGACAGAAAGATCTTCTGTCCATAGGTGTGCTCCCCAAATGCACTCAACAGCTTGGCCAGGTTGAAGCCAGAAGCCCAGAATTCCATATGGGTCTCCCATGTGAGTGACAGAGATTCTAGTACTGGAGTCATCATCTATTTCCTTCCCAGGCACATCAGCAGGGATATGGAATGGAAGCAGAGCAGCCAGGACTCCAACCAGCACTCTGATAGGAGATGTCAGCGTTCTAAGCAGCTCCTTAACCCACTGCACCACAACACCTGTCCCCCAGAAGGATTATTAATATATGCAACAACATGCATAAATTACAAATCATTAAGCTGAGTGAAACAAGTCAGACAAAAAAGGGTGCATACTGCATCATTCCATTTACAAGTTGTACAGAGAAAAAACAGAAGACATAAACAAGAGAATAAGGTAAAAGACAATAGATGAATAGACGACAAATGATTATAGGTGCTTGACAAATACACGATACACAGATGACAGATTGATAGAGAAACTGTAGATAAATGATAGATGGTGATGACCACAGATACGTACAGATAACAGATGAATAAAACAGAAATGATACATCATAAGAGATGACAGATGACTAATGGATAGATGGTAGATACACAGGCAGACAGAAGATACATATTGATAAAGAAATGATTGAGGAGGGAGACAGAGAGGGCTAGGCAAAAAAAAGGGGGGGGGGAGGAGTGATAGTGGAGACAAGCAGATAGAGGTGAAATGAGGGGAAGGGCCAAGGGAGAAAACCACATGGGGAAAGGAGAGAAGGACACAGGGAGGCATCAGGTCTCTGGCTCTGGCCCTGCTGTCACCCCTGTGGTCTCCTGCACTTGGACAGCTGACCAGTCCATTCTGATGGCTTCTTATACGCACAGGTGGCCACCCGCCTGCGGAGGAAGGAGGGAGACTACGAGGTCCAACGCCGCCGCCTGGGCTACTATCTGCCACAGCTGGACCTGACGAAGCTGCAGTAATTCCTGGAACCACAGGAGCTTGGCTGGAGCAGAAATAAACCACACTGGTGCGACACAGCCTCTGGGCCTTTCTTGACTTGGCCCCTGACTGGCTTGCAGAGACTACGAGGAAAGTTGGAAAGCCTTCCTTCCTTACTAAGCCCTGAAGTCAACTATCAGTTGTGTTTTATGGTTTCACACCATGTCACCCTTCAGGGATGCCAGGATTGCCATCACATAAAATCAACATCCCACTTCACCATGAGGTTTTCCCTCCTGTTCACCCACTGTATACCTGCTATTCTCCCCATCACACCTATGTCTGCTCCTCCCCATTTCCCTACTTCCTGTAGTCCCCGTAGTCTTGAGTTTGTCTTCCTTCATTCTCTGAAGCTCAGGTTCACCAGGATTTCTGGATCAGTTTTCCTGGATGTCTCCTTACCCACCCCCATGGATTCTCCAAGATGAAAAACAGACCAAGAAGTGGCTCAAAAATGGCTCTGTAATCAGCTTTGGGACTGGAGAGCTGAAATGAAGAGAGGCATTTAGGAAGCCAAGTAATATCAAGATTCTAGAAGCATAATGTCTGCTTTGGATATAAAGATGAATAAAAGTTAGTCTTTGTTTTTCATCTTTCTGTGCACTGAATTCAACTGGACACTTACTGCCAAGAAGCCTAGGCGTAAGGCCAGCACTGCTGCCCTGTGGAGGATTTGTGGGCGTGGTTTACATTATCTCTGTGTGATCTGCAGGCTATCCCAAGTGCCGACATGCAAGGGATTAAAACTACAGTAGTGCTTCCTGCACATTCAGACTGAATTTAACATTTTCAGTCTTCAGTGGTCTTTCTCTGAGAATGTACTCTCTGAAGATTATTAGGATTGGTAACACAGGTTGGGTCTCCCTGATACAGAAACATGAAATCCAAAACATCTAAGATCCACAAAGTCTATGCAAATAGTCCCAAATCCCCAAATCTCTGACCCCAAACATTTCAGATATGCGATACTCAATCTGTAATAGCTACCACTTACTGACTACCCAGCATCTGCTAAACACCATGGTTGGCAAGCTCTGTGTGTATTACCTCAATTACACTCAGCTTTGTTATGGTTTGTGTCCACTCCAAAATTCACCTGTTGGAAACTTAATGTCTACTGCAACAACACTGGGAAGTGGGGCTGCACAGGAGGTATTTAGGCCACAGAGAGCTCTGACCTCATGAATAGGTTGATGCTGCTATAAAAAATATGTGGGTGGGGACAGGTGTTGGGATACGACTGACACTTGTAATGCTGACATCCTGTATCGGAGGGCTGGCTCAGGTCCTGGCTGTTCTACTTCCTTTTTTTTTTTTTAAGGATTTATTTATTTATTTGTAAGTCAGAGTTACCCAGGGAAAGGGAGGGGGAGACGGAAGGGGAGGGGGGTAGCAGAAGATGGCCCAAGTTTGGGAGATCCAGATGGAGCTCCTTGCTCCTGGCTTTGGCCTGGCACAGACCTGGCTTTCATAGCCATTTGGGGAGTGGACTAGTGGATGGAAGTTCTCTCTCTCTCTCTCTCTCTCTCTCTCTCTCTCTCTCCCTGTTGCACTGCCTTTTCAAATACATTAATCTCTCTTTTTTTTTTTTTTAGTGTAGGGAAGTAGGATCCCTCTCCCATCCTTCTGCCATCCGAGGACTCAGCATTCCTCCTCTCTTGCTTTTCTGCCTTCCACCACATGAGAATACAAAAAAGCCCCCATGAAATGTCAACACCCTGATATTGGGCTTTCCAGCTTCCCAAACTGTGAGAGAATAAATTTACGTTCTTTACAAGTTACCATTTGGTGTGTTACAGAAGCACAAAACAGACTAAGACACCAGCCTTGAGAGATTCCCATTTTACAACTGGAACTATGCAACATAACTGGAACAAAACTCAGGCTATATACCTAGCCAAATTGTCAGGGAGAACACACTACCAGACATACAGACCACGTCAAAGTACACCTCTGGCAGGCCTTTGGCATGTGGGAAATAAGCCCCCCTGATACCACCTACCCACAAAAGGATGGGCTCAGAAACATGAAGGCAGCAGAAAGCGAGGCGCTTACTGATTCCCAGCAGGTGGAAGCAAGTCCCACCCTTGGATGCTCAGCCCCTTGTGTCCCTGTCACTCTGCATCTCTTTTTCCTTGTTGCTTGTTGGTTGAGTAACTTGGGAGGTACAATCTAAGTCCCACAGGGCACCTAAAGCAGGGTTGGGTAATTGGGGAGGATGAAGCTGGGCAGATAAGCCAGGAGAGGGGAAGAGTTTCATTTTGGCAACGGCAAAACTCATACAGTTCTGGGAACAGAGGGCACTTTGCAATGAGCATTCTATGGCTGGAGATTATGGAATTGCTACAAAGAACTGGTAGCACAAGGTTTGCAAAGCAAGGGCTCAGCAGCTGTCTTACTTTGGGGTTTTTTGCAATTCTATCCTAGTTTCTACTGAGGCCTAGTATCACAGGCTACACTAAGGCTAAGCTAAGTCTCTTGTGAAAACATACCATGGGGTCATTTCTCACAAGTGTAAGAACCAGTGAAGGATGTCCATCAGGAGGAACAAATGTGAAACCACCAAAACATAACTGGAATGAAACAGCAGGAGTAATGAGAAGAGGAAAAAAAAAATCACTATATCTAAACTACTATTTTAGTTTTAGGACAACATTAAACCAATTTTGAACTAAAACTGCACATGACTACTACAGGCAAGCATTAAAGGACAAAAGATGAAATTTTAAAATAATTCAGTTTTAGGGAAGACATAAAAAGATCTTTTTTAAATTCATCACTCTCAGAATCTGATAAATCCATTAAACAAAAGTAGGTAATTATGAAGCAGATTCAAATAATATGAGGGTACTTCCAAAGGGGTATAGAAAAATGGAATTAAAAATTTATTTTGGTGCAAATAATTTTGAAATCCATGCATACTTTTTCTTTTTTTTAAAGAATTTATTTATTTACTTGAGATGTAGAGTTAGAGGGAGAGACAGAAAGAAAGGTCTTCCATCTGCTGGTTCACTCCTCAAATAGCAACAATAGCTGGAGCAGGGCTGATCCAAAGCCAGGAGCCAGGAGCTTCTTCTGGGTCTCCCATGTGGGTGCAGAGGCCCAAGCACTCCAGCCATTGTCTGCCACTTTCCTAGGCCACAGCAGAGAGCTGGATCAGAAGTGGAGAAGTTGGTGCCTATATGGGATGCTGGTGCCACAAGCACATGCTTGCCTACTGTGCCACTGCGCTGGCCCCTAGTTTTTCTATAAGATGCATTTGCCATGAACTTTTTGAGGTACCTTCATACAGATAATTTCAAGAACATTTTGTACCAAAATAAACTTATCTTTAAATTCCATTTTCCACCAACTTTTGGAAGTACCTTTATATAACAAGCAATCAGGCAAACAGAAAAATAAACTTCAGTTCAGCTTCAGCAGGCAGACGCTTATTGTTAGATTAATAATGAAAAAAATCTCTCTGAAATCATTATGCCCAAATGGCACTCAAACACAGAGGAGTATAGGAGGGTACTTCCAACAATTCACAGAAAATGGAATTAAAAGATGTTTATTTTGGTGCAAAAATTTTTGACATCCGTGCATATGCACATAAAGTTAATGGAAAGTATGTGTCATGAAAAAAAGTGCACGAACTTCAGAATTTTTTGAACCAAAATGTTTTTCTTTTAATTCTGTGTCCTACAAATGTTCTGAAGTCTTCTTTATAGGTCTAGCAAATGAGGAAAGTCTGGTATCTTGTTATATGCAACTCTGAACTAACAGGCAATCAAAACAAAAATAACTGGGGATAGAGATCTTATTAGAGAAAATGGAAATAAAAATCCTTCGGAGCAGTATTATTTTGAAATCTACTGGAACGTAACATAAAATTAACAGCATATCCTGTGAGGTAAGTTTTGTCCTGTGACTGTGGGAACAAGGCACTGAATAATTAATTCCATGACTTTGGCAATTCCCTGTAGATTTCAAAATCAACAAAATGGTCCCGACACAGAAAGAAAAACCCTGCAAGATCTCACTTACATGTAGAACCTAAATAAAGCAAAATATATAGAAAAGCAGAGTGGTGGTTATCAGGAGTGGAGGTGAATGGAAGTGGGGAGATATGGATCAAAGGATACAAAATTGCAGTAATGTGGGATGAGTAAGCCCAGAATCTCACATACAACACCAGGGCTAGAATCAACAATGTTAAATATTGTATACCAGAGTCAAATGTGGCCACATAAAGTGGTGGAAACATTTATTTGCATGACTGAAGAAGTCATTTCACCACGCATGCACACACACACACACACACACACACACACGGGTGCTTCAAAAAGTTCATGGAAAAAGGAATTAAAAGGTAAGTATATTTTACTGCGAATAATTTTGAGATGTGTACCTAGTTTTTTTTCATAATATGCATTTCACATGATCTTTTAAATATTATCTGGATTTCAAAAACGTTTTGCACCAAAAGACAGTTCTCTTCAATTCAATTTCCAAGAACTTTTTGAAGCACCCTTGAGTGTGTATCAAATCACATCATATACCATAAATGTACAGAAACATATTTCAAAACTAAATAAAGGGGCTAGCACTGTGGCGCAGCAGGTTACTGCCCTGGCCTGAAGCATCAGCATTCCATATGGGCGCCGGTTTAAGACCTGGCTGCTCCACTTCAGATCCAGTTCTCTGCTATGGCCTGGGAAAGCAGAAGAAGATGGCCCAAGTCCTTGGGCCCCTGCACCCACATGGGAGACCCGAAAGAAGCTCCCGGCTCCTGGCTTCGGATCAGTGCAGCTGCAGCCATTGTGGCCAACTGGGGAGTGAACCATTGGATGGAAGATCTCTCTCTCTGCCTCTCCTCTCTCTAACTCTTTCAAATAAATGAATAAATCTTTTTTAAAAAATAAAACTAAGTAAAGTACAAACAAATCATGTGAACAGCAAACAAAGATGAGAGTGCAACATGAGAAAGAAAACAATCCTCTTTCTTTCCTCACCTGAAACCCAGTACCTCCCCCCGGAAAGAAATCACTGGTCATATTCTCTTGCATCGCACAAAGAAGTTTAATAAAAATAAGCATCAGTGCATTTGAAAGTTTCAACAGCTCAGAGCAAAAAAAATTTTTTTGGACACTGCAAAGATGTTAACATGGGTTCAAGCTCCATTCCATCTGCATTTCTTCTTCTTTTTCTTTTTTCCTCAATCTTTTTCAGTACTCTCCTCTCGTCCCCCTCACTTTCTCCCTTTCACTAGCTAGTCTGTCTAAAATCAGAGCGATCGCAAGCCTCTCTCTTGCTGCCTTCACTTTCTTTTCCTGTATTCTAATATCTTCCTCACTCACCAGAAATTGCCTGTAGAGGAGCTGTGAGAGACCCAGATCTGCCCTAGGGATCACCTCTGACGAAAGTGAACATGGGGCATGGGCAGGTACAGCAGGAGCCCCTGGCAGGGATGCACCTGTGCAATTCGATGCAAGCTTTTGCAAGGCTTTGGTGAGATCCAAAGTACTCAGAAGTTCACCTTCACTGCTGTAGGCCTGCAGTCCTTGCACTCTCTTCTGCCAGCAGACCTGCTGGGGCTTGTCCAGGCTCTCCTCCCGTTGGTGGTATCTAATCTCATTGCCAGGGTGGGCTGAAACTCTAGTAACTGGCCTCTTGAATAAGTAACTGGACATCCTCAAGGGGATTGAGGTACCCAAGCCAGGCCTTGATTTGCACTGGCTCATATAGTCACGTGGCTTCCTCTGTGAAGTCTTGGTCATAATACTTCTTTTTCTTTTACCCTACAAAAACAAATCGTGAAATGGGATCAAGATGATCAACTGTAAATACTGCACGTTCTCTCTCATAGAGGAAGCGCAAAACGTCAGTCTGAAAGCAGAAGAGTGAAGACCAGAGGCTTGGAAGTGTCAGGAGTTGGGGGGAGCTTGGATAACAGGCACAAAGCCACAGACACACAAAGGAGCACTCTCTAATGCTCTAGAGCATGGTGGGGACACCATAGTTCACTTCAACCTATTACCTAACGGGGTACTTCCAAAAGTTCACAAAAAAGGGGACTGGAAGATAAGTTTGGGTAGGGGCAGGCGTTTAGCCTAGTGGTTAAGATAATGGTTAAGATGCCCGAGTGACACATCAGAGTGCCTGGGTTAGAGCTCTAGCTCCATTCCTGATCCCCACTTCCTGCTAATCAGACCCTGGGAGGCAGCAGTGATGGCCCAAGTGGTTGGGCCCTGACTTTGGCCCAGGCCTGGAAAGTATTTGGGGAGTAAAACACTGGATGTGAGCTCTCTTTCTTTCTCTCTCTGCCTCTCATATAAACAGATAAGTTTACTTTAAATCAAAGAATGTTAAAATCCATGTCTGATGAGGTATTTAAAAAGTTCATGGAAACTGTCTTTTGGGGCTGGCACTGTCGAGCAGCAGGTTAAAGCCCCAGCCTGCAGTACAGGCATCCCATATGGGCGCTGTTTTAAGTCCTGGCTGCTCCACTCTGATCCAGCTCCCTGCTAATGCAGCCAGGAAAGCAGTAAAAGACAGTCCAAGGCCTTGAGCCTCTGCACCCATGTGGGAGACTGGAAGAAGATCTTGGCTCCTGGCTTCAGATAGGCTAAGCCCCAGCCATTGCGGCCATCTGGGGAGTGAACCAGTAGATGGAAGACCGTTCTCTCTTTGTCTACCTCTCTGTAACTCTACCTCTCAAATAAATAAATAAATAAATATTTTTTTATTTTTAACTTTTATTTAATGAATATAAATTTCCAAAGTACAGCTTATGGATTACAATGACTTCCCCCCCGTAACGTCCCTCCCACCCGCAACCTCCCCTTTCCCACTCCCTCTCCCCTTCCATTCACATCAAGATTCATTTTTGATTCTCTTTATATACAGAAGACTGCTTTTCTTGTATTGTCTTGGAGACAACTGTCAGAGACAGGCATCCGTGCTCTCCTCCCGTGGGAAGAGGCCTGACCTGCACTCTGGTACAGCCTCAAGTCTGACAGCAAGGACAGAAAGCTCAAGGTCAAAGCTCTCCTCCACCATCCCTGCACGGCTCCCTCTTGGCCTGAGCATCCTGTTGTCCTCCCTTTGTCTCTGCCACTCTCAGCTGTGCAAGTCCTGACACTCACAGTCCTCAGTCTTCCCCCAGGTCCAGACTCCTGTAATGTGTCTGTGTTATGTGCCTGTATGCTTGGCTCACCACCGACTTGGTTTTCAAAAGCTCCGTGTGAAATGACCATCGCCCCTCTCTTGGAGAGTCACCCTCATGTCCCAGCCACGTCCACCAACCCAAATGGTCATGCTCTAAAGTGAAATAAAATATTTCAGAAAAGGTATTCACTCGTCACAAGTTGACTTGGCAGATTTTTAATTCAAACACCCACACACGAGGTTCCTCCAGGACAGAAGGGGCTCCAGATCACCATATTTTCACCTTATTGGTCTCTCTCTTTTCATAAATTGAAAATTATCATTATGTATCTATATATTTATATATTTACAAAGTACAGCGTTTGAGACATGAAGATACTGGGTAATGATCCAATTGGGGTAACTGGCATTCACTTCCATCTCCTTAGATATTCACTGTTTCCTTGTGTTGGGAAACTTTGAGCTCCTCTCTTCTAGTTTTTTTTTTTAAAGATTTATTTATTTATTTGGAAGGCAGAGTTATAGAAAGGCAGAGGCTGAAAGAGACAGAAGTATTCCATCCACTGGTTCACTCCCCAAATGGCCACAAACAGCTGGAGCTGAGTTGATCAGAAGCCAAGAGCCAGGAGCTTCTTCCAGGTCTCCCATGTGGTTGCAGGGGCCCAAGCACTTGGACCATCTTCCACTGCTTTCCCAGGCTATTATCAGGGAGCTGGATAAGAAGTGGAGCAGCCGGCCGGTGCCGTGGCTCACTTGGCTAATTCTCTGCCTAGTGGCGCCGGCACACCAGGTTCTAGTCCTGGTCAGGGCGCCGGATTCTGTCCCGGTTGCCCCTCTTCCAGGCCAGCTCTCTGCTGTGGCCAGGGAGTGCAGTGGAGGATGGCCCAAGTGCTTGGGCCCTGCACCCCATGGGAGACCAGGAGAAGCACCTGGCTCCTGGCTTCGGATCAGTGCAATGCGCTGGCCGCAGCACGCCAGCTGCGGCGGCCATTGGAGGGTGAACCAATGGCAAAGGAAGACCTTTCTCTCTCTCTCTCTCACTGTCCACTCTGCCTGTCAAAAAAAAAAAAAAAGTGGAGCAGCTGGGGCTTGAACCGGTGCCCATATGGGATGTTAGCACTGTAGGCAGCAGCTTTTACAAGCCACAACACAGTGCTGGTCACTCTTCTATAGATTATAGTGAGCCACAGTCACTCTACTGTGCTGTGGACACCGGAGCTTGTGCCCCCTGTGTGACTGTATTTAGTATCCATTGTCCAACCTCCCCTTTCCTACCCACCCTTACTCCTATCTTAGATTCCACTGTTTGTGATCTCAATAATTCCTCAGAATGATCTAAAATTCTTATAATAGGGGCCGGCACTGTGGTGTAGTGGGTAAAGCTGCCGTCTGCAGTGTCTGGGAAAGCAGTAGGAGATGGCCCAGGTCCTTGGGCCCCTGCACCCACATGGGAGACCTGGAAGAAGCTCCTGGCTCCTGGCTTTGGATCAGCGCAGCTCTGGCTGTTTCGGCCATCTGGGGAATGAACCAGCAGATGGAAGACCTCTCTCTCTCTCTGCCTCTGTCTCTCTGTAACTCTGTCTTTCAAATAAATAAATAAATCTTTAAAAAATTAATAAAAGTCCTACAATCTAAAATGATGTCTGTCTGGTAAAACTTCAGACCTGGAAGATCCCTGTTACCTACCATGCCACAGATCCTGCCATTCTTTCCCACCCCCCCGCCCCCAAAGAAATCTTTTATTTCAGGAATAGAAACTCCATGCATTTCACAAGTACAACTTTAGGAATATAGTGATTCTTCTCACCAAACCCATACTCCCACTTTTCCTCCCTCTCCCATCCCCAGTCTCATTCTCCACTAAGATCCATTTTCAATTAACTTTATACACAGAAGACCAACTCTATACTAAAGAGTTTAACAATTTGCTCAGAAAAAAAAAAAAAAAGTTGTTCCTCAACCGTGGAGACAAGGGCACAGCGCCTGCCATTCTTACGGTAACTTCTGAAGTGTTTTGATGCCAACATGAATACAGAATGCTCAGCACCAACCAGGAAAGTTTTCTTCCTTTCCATGTGTTAGCAAACTGACTTTCCAAGTTTTCCCAAGATCTGTTCCAAAATGCCGCCCCTTCTTCTTTTCCTCACATAGACTCTCAAGTTCCCCTAATGTGCCTGCTATTTCAGTGAAACTGCTAATTATCAGCTGACATTTTAGGTAAATATCTCTGATAAGTTTCCATTGCTGAACAATGTTCTCTAATTGCATTCGAAGTGCTTTTCTCCTCTCACGATGACCTGAGAATCCTCCCTTCCTCCAGCTTAGTAACCTTAAGTCCCCCATATTCCAGTACAGCCCTTGTGTCTTCAATTCTTTTCCTCCAGATTTTCCCTAACTACACAGAAACTCCTTGCCTGGCTTTCTTGCAACCTCTCCTCAGCCGTTACTTTCTATGTCTTCCCCTCACCTGTGAACCTTTGAGAAAAGATCATCCGCTTCCTATTTCTCTGATGCCTCACCTCCTGCCAGCTCCTGACACCACTCCAAAACTCCACCTGCCTTCACCATTCTATGCCTGTTTCCTCGGATAGGGTCACAATGACCCCTTTGTCATCAGACCCAAAAGGAACCTTGTATTATTCTTCTGCTACGCCTTTTAAGTGGAACACTTTCCCATTATTTTTGGAACAACCCGGATATGTGAATTTGATAAACTCTGAAGATGGGGCAGGTGTATGGGATAAAACACAACTCACAAATGGGGATGTGCTTTAAGTGGAAAGTACAAAATTGGTTTTCTGGCACAAAAACAAAAAGAATGTAAAATATCAACTCTTACATGGATTGCAGGCGCAAAGAAGAGTGCCTTGGGATGAAACACTTTTGAGATTAGTTTCACCTATTTGCTTTCAGTTCTCTTAATGAGGCTACTAAAAAGTCTCAATGTCCATAATACAGAGTGCTTAACACATGCTCCTGTTGGGCAGTGCAAGGCAAAGCCCAGAGAAAGGAGTCAGAGAAGAGCAGGTATTTCATGCTGTGGTTAAGAGCATCCCCTGTCTCAGTGCTTGGGTTCGAGTCATGCTCCACTCCTGATTCCAGTTCCCTGCTAATGCACACCCTACAAGCCAGCACATGTTGGCTCAAATACTTGGGTTCCTGCCACCCATGTGTAAGACCCAGAATGGGTTCCACACTCAGAGTTTAGTCCTGGTCCACTGTAAGCATTTGGGGAATGAAGCAGTAGATGGAAGACCTCTCTCCTTTTCTGTCTCTCTCTGCCTTTCAAATAAATATATAAAAAAAAAGAAAAAGAAAAAAAAATTTTCCCAATGAAAGGACGCCTCCCTGGACACCAACTGCAAGATGCAATGAACTCTGTCCAATCCCTCTCCCACCATCACCACACACACTCCCAGATTCCCGTATCTATTTCTTAAATGCCATGACGTACATTCCCAAACACAATCAGCCTTCTGTGGCCACAGATTCAACCAATCGTGGATTGACAATGTAATTACTGTCTGACTTGTTTCCCAGGCATCATTCCCTAAGCAGCACAAATCTTCAGAAGTATCCACATATACACATGGAAAATGGAATTAAAAAATACATTTATTTTGGTGCCAAAAAATTGAAACTGGTGTAGCTTTTCACAATATGTGTTTTTCATGAACTTTTGGAAGACCGTTCATGTGCAGGATTTCAAAACACTTTTTACACCAAAAATCATCTTTTAATTCCATTTCCTATGAACCTTTTGAAGTATCCGTGTACTTTTAGAAGCACGCATATCTGCAAGGATAAAGACGATATTTGCTCTTGGCAAGAGAGCTGAGAGATAGTGGCCGTAGTGAAGATTCCTTTTTTGATTCATACATATTTATTGAACACTTTATATTCCATGAACTGTTTCTGGGGACACAGCAGTGAAACACGACGAGTCCACTCTATTTGAAGCTTCTATAGCAGTGGGAGTAAACAAATGCACATATCAGGAGCCATGGTGATGATGGATTTTACCAACACACTCAAGGTGAGGGAAAAGGCAGATAGGTAAGAACATACATTTGTGCGAATGTGCTATTTTGGGAGTGTGAATATTGGACTCTGTAACCCTGAGTAGAGTCTACCCTTCCCTGTGCTCATCTGAAAACACTCTCAGACAATTCCAGAAACAACCAACTCATAAATCTTAAATTGCCATTTTGTGTAGCACAAATGCCCACCCCATGGTAACTGAGAAAAACCACATTTAGCTAACTTTTATTTCAATGTATTGTTGTTCTACCTTGTTATGGTTATTACTGCTCATCTGTTACTATGATTCATAAACTGAATTCTATGGTAGGTTCTTATTAGGAAGAAAACCACAGTATACACAGAGCTCGTTATGACGCACTGGGGGTGCTGAGTCGTGGAGAGTTCTTCAGGAAAAGGGGGAACCACACTACCTATGACCTAATCCCCGCTATCCCCCACCCCAGCTGTGACGTCAGAGCGTTGCGTCACTATCTCCTTCAGGAATGCTGCAGAGACGCGCGCGTGGATTGGGCGGTCCGTGCAGCACCTGCTGTGCGCATGGTCCGGGGCTCCAGCCGGACCGCTATCCGCAGGGTCGGGGCTTCCAGCAAAGCCCCGTCCACGCTGCTGATCCTCCCACAGTCCACACCCGACAAATGCTCTTCAGGCCGCCGTATCCTCGCCCGCAGAACTGGTTCCTCCGCCCACAGCCCCGGTTCCCCGCTCGCAGCCCGGCTCCTCAGCTTTGTCCCCGCCTCCAAGGCTAGCCCAACCTCCAGTGGCTGAGCCTCTACTCACCAAGCAAATAGGAACACTTCGGCTCCTCCCATCCTGCTCGCTCCGCCCAGCGCCTCAACCCCGAAATGTCAGTCACCCCCTTCTTCGCCGCCGTCAGCCCGGGACCGGAAGCGGAAGCACGGGACAGCCCGCCCACGACAGGAAGCGGAAGCCCGGGGCGGAGCTGGGGAGCCAGCCAGTCCCGGCGTGTCTGCGAGTCCGTGGGTTTGGCTTTTCGTTAGGGACTCGGTGAGTTGGTGGGTGGGGTTGGGGTCCGGGACCTGGGAGGGGCCTGGGGCCAACCTCGCTTTGACCCTCCCGGGGGCCTCCTTTCCTCCGCTCAGATCTCGGGCTGTTCTTCTCCCCGCCCCGCGCCGGAAGCTCCCCTCGTCTCCCTCTCTTCTCCGGGTGGATTAGGGGTTGGGGGTAGGGGGATTCTGCGCCCCGGGCAGCCTTCGGCCTCATCTGCAGACATTTTTGGTTGTTGGCGATTGCGGACGGGGAGACCGCGCCACTGTCACCCAGCAGGTGGTGGCCGGGGACGCGGCTTGCTGTGCCCCGCCAGTAAGACGTTCCGAATAAACCGCGGGAATTGTTCAGAATTCAGCCTGAGTCTCCTAAATAACGCGTGAGTAAGCGCAGTGCACACTGCGTTAAGCTGCTGTCTTCCGTTTTAGGGAGCAGGTGTGTCTGATAGCAGTCAGGCAAATCCAGCAGCCAACTGACGGGGCCCTTACTGCACCCTAAATCTGTAAGTACTTAAAAAAAAAAAAAAAGGGACAGCTATTGCTCCCTACACAAAACTTCAAAAGCAATCCTGCTGCTTTTTTTTTTCTTCTTTTTTTCCCAGACAAGCATCCCTCCAGCTCAGACTTGTGCTGAAACCTACCCTCAAGGTTCTCCTGTGCTCACTGATCCTGGATCCCTGTGTGGCCAGGTGAGTATCACGTGGATCATGACATCAGCAGGGGCTTCAGGAGGCTCCTCTGTGTAGGAGAGCTGCGAATGGGCTTTTCTCTGGCTCAGGTTGTAAGCCACAAGGAGTGGCTAAGTGTGAGGGGTATGGCAGGGAGCCGTGTTCCTGTTTGATGGCTTATGTTCAGAGGAAAGATACTAAGGTGTGTATGGTGATGTGTGTGGCGTTAAGTAAATACAAGTCCATGCAAATGGAACAGAGACATAAAGAACTATGAATACGTGTAGCTTTAGGGAAATACTCTTGCCATAGTACTGAAAATGTCTGGGTTTTACATAAGAGCATCTAAGGCTGTTTTCTGTTGCTAACGACACAATGCCACAGACTGGACCAGTTATAGGAAAGAATTTTTTTTTTTTTTTTTTTGCTTATGGTCCTGGTCCAGAGTCAAGGGGCCACTTGTGATGCTGGCCTTCTTTGCTGGTGGGGTCCTGAGGCAGTGCAGGGCCTCATGTGGAGAGAGTCAGGGAGCAGAGTGCTCCAGGAACCCAACCAGTCTCTCATAGCAGACCCACCATCAAGACAACTTGTTCAGCTGTCAGTCCCACGAAAGAAGTAATGTATTCGTGAGAGTGGAGTTCTCGTCACCTCTTGATTTGTAATTGTAGGGGTTAAATTTCAGCATGAACTTCAGATGGGACAAACACTATTCAGATCGCGAAGCATAAGACTTTGCAGTAGTCCCGAATGTCCGTGCTGTTTTAAGTCTTCCTGCGGAGGACTAGCAGAGCTGTTGAGCCATGTGCTTCAGGCCTGTTGGACTCAACTTTCTAAAGGCCTGCAGATCCTCCACAAAGCTTTACAATATGGCAGCCTCTGTGACGATGACAGTAGCAGTAACAGAAATTTAAGATTGCATTGGCCAGCAACTGGTTGTGTCTTGAGCAAGTAGATTTTTTTTTTTCTTCGTGAAAGTTAAAATCATTTGGAAGAATATCAGGCAGCAAGCTATAGACTGAAGCGTGAGACACTAGCTTCCTAAACAGTCCTCTAGACCTTGCCTCCTAATAGGAATCAACTTTGCTTCTTTGCTTTGTATTAGTGATATGTTGATTCATATTGCAGAAATTCATACTAAGTAATCTTATGTTAATTGTGGAGTTCAGTTAATTGTGTGTGAGTGTGTGTGTGTGTGCACCTTTTTTGCTCTAGCTTTCCTGTAACATTCTTGAGGGGAATGTTTGCTTATCATGCAAACAGATAGTATTTGAGTGTGCAATTTAGGGTGAGCAGCCGTCCTGCTTAATTCAGGACCAGAGTGGATGCAGAAAATTCATTGTTGAAACCAGGACAGCCCTAGACAAACCTGGATGCAACCTCCATGAGCTGGGTCCTGAGCCAGATGTTTGGGGACCCTGGAGAACTAAAACACACTGGACCTGCCTCCGTGGAGTGTACCTGCTAGCAAGCAGGGAAGATGGCTCCAAGCAATAAATGACACATGTGACGTGGGAGCTGGGGACAGGGAAGCACTGATAGGTGGTGGAGAGCAGAAGCTGATGTCACTAGCTGGAGCGGCGTGTACACGGAGCACTCGAGGATAGCCCCTCAAGCAGGAGGGACCTGGTGTGCCACATGAATGGGAGAGACAAGGTGGCTGAAGCTGAGACTCCAGAGGGAAAAGGGAGGCAGAGGCAGGCCCGGCGTGGCTTTGGACTTGGTCTAAGGCCCGTGGGAGGGCACTGAAGAGAGGGGAGAAGCAGCGATGTGCACCTGGTCCAAGCTCGTGGGTGAAAGTGGGCTTGAGAATTCAGAATGAAGACCTTATAGAGACAAGACAGAAGGTGTTAGGGAGAAGTTCAGGAGTCAAATGATGGTTCCCTGACGTGGGTGGTGGTGGTAGAGAGGAAAGAAGTAGGAAAAAGAAATGTTGGAACTGAGGGCTTGTGACAGTGCTGTAACTTCTGTGTGTGTTCCTCAGGTAGTTTACACTTTGCTCCTGGCTCTGTGAACCCGCAGGCAACCCCTCCCCCAACTCTGCCACTCCCAGGGGCCCCTCCTCTGTATCTTGAAGGACATCAGTCTGAAATGTGCCCAGGGCTGCACCGTCACTACAGCACCCGCATGGAGCTGTTTCCACTAATCTAGTGAAAACTGAAACAATTAAGAAACCTAGCCACATTTCAAGTGCACAGTAGCCACACGTGGCTGGTTAGCAACTACTGCGTGGACAGAGCAGAGTAGCAGAACATTTCTGTTGTCCCCCAAAGTTCTACTGGGCAGCGCTGGCATAAAGAGGTGCATCCACTGTGACCCTCTCCCAGCACCAGCTTATCCAGGGCAGGGCAGGAGATACTGCCTGCCCTAATAGATTCCAGCTCCTAGACAACCGTGAAGGGACACATGGAAGCTGAAATGTCCCAGGCATCCTGTCTGCCTGCCCAGTGAGCTGACTGGGCCCCACCCTTCCTCTCCCTCCTTGGCTCAGTGACTAAAATATGCTCAGCTGCAGATGGGGGTCCCTGATGAGGAGAAAGGAGGTGCCCTTCCCTCCCCCCCACCTGCAGAGGGCTGGGAATTCCGGCACCGGGTGCACGGATAGGCTGGCCTCACCCGATGCCTCAGGGAAGATTTGACATGAGAAGCAGCATTAGATTCCTGTTGTTGCCCTAACCAACGACCGCAGACCTAGTGGCTTGAAACAGCACACATCTATTCTGTTACAACCCTGGAGGCTAGAAATCCACAATGAGTCAGCAGGGCTGGGGCCCCTCCAAGATGTGATGGGAAATCTTTGTTCCGCCTTTCTTCGCAGGGACACTGCCTTTATTCCTTGGCTGCGTCTTCAAAACCAGCAGGGCAGTGTCTTACAGTCCTTCTCCATCTCTGTCTCCTCTACCATACACATGGCTGCTTCTGTTGGTGCCTCCTTCTCTAACCTTGACCCTCCTGCCTCTCTTAGAGGGACCCCAGTGATGATGTCAGGCCACCCACCTGTGTATCATTCAGGATCTCCCATGTCAAGAGCCTTCTCTTTGTCCCCTCTGCAAACTCCCTTCAGTCATGTAAGGGGACAAGTCACAGGCTCTGGGGATTAGAACAGGAGCATCTTTTAAGGGGAGCAGGAAGTTCCTCATCTGTCTGCCACCATATTCTCCCACGTGACCCAAACTCACTTTCAGTATTCAGTGCACCCCTCCTTGTCGAAACATTCCGTGTACTCTGCCTTATGCCTTGCTCTTAATGTACTTGACTTTACTGGAGGTAATAATCTTCGTCGATACCTTGTTCTTTTTGATTGCTGTTTTCTTCTGGCCGCATGCTTCTTCATGATGGAGACATTAGTTTCTTTAGCCAGTCTCCTACTGGTGAGCATCTGTGCTGTTTTTAATCCTTTGTAACTGAGACCACAGTGCAAACTCTCACATGTGTCTGTGAGTAGTCTGTGTACCTTTGAGACAGATTCCTGGAGGCAGGATGGATAGGAAGAGAGCAGGTTTTTTTTTTTGTTTGTTTGTTTTTTTTTTTTTTTTTTTTTTTGGACAGGCAGAATTGGTGAGAGAGAGAGAAAGGTCTTCCTTTTTCCGTTGGTTCACCCCCCAAGTGGCCACTACGGCTGGTGCGTTATGGGCAGCATGCTGCGCCAATCCGAAGCCAGGAGCCAGGTGCTTCCTCCTGGTCTCCCATGCAGGTACAGGGCCCAAGGACCTGGGCCATCCTCCACTGCACTCCCGGGCCACAGAAGAAAGCTGGACTGGAAGAGGAATAGCCGGCACAGAATCTGGCGCCCCAACCGGGATAGAACCCCGGGTACTGGCACCGCAGGCGGAGGATTAGCCTAGTGAGCAGCGGCGCCGACCTTTTTTTTTTTTTTTTTTTTAAAGATTTTTATTTATTTGAGAGGTGGAGTTACAGACAGTGAGAGGGAGAGACAGAGAGAAAGATCTTCCTTCCGTTGGTTCACTCCAAATGGCCGCAACAGCTGGAGCTGCGCCTATCTGAAAGCCAGGAGCCAGGTACTTCTTCCTGGTGTCCCATGTGGGTGCAGGGGCCAAAGGACTTGGGCGATCTTCTACTGCTTTCTTAGGCCATAGCAGTGAGCTAGAGGAAGAGGAGCAGCCGGGACTAGAACCGGCGTCCATATGGGATGCCAGCACCACAGGCGGAGGATTAACCTACTGCGCCATGGTGCCAGCCCCGGAAAGAGCAGTTTTACAGCTTTGCCCCGTGTTGGCCACCTCCTTCCGTAGGAGCCGTCCCAGCAGTGTGTGAGCTGACCAGTGCTGTCTTTGCTGGTTGGGCAGGTGGAAAATAGGAGCAGCGAGGCCTCGGTCCCCATCTCTGTTACCGCGAGTAAGGTCATTGGTGATTCTGCCGAGGGGGCTGTCCTGAAATGGTAGTGGTGGGAGCCGCTGGTACTGTGCGAGGTGTGAGTGGGCCCTGAGGGAGGAAGTCAGAGGGTCAACAGCTTTGACTGGGATGCCAGGGGCAGGGAGTGGAAAGAAAACCTGGCTGCAAGGACAGATTTGAGTCACAGCTGTAGATACCGGGCCAAGCTGGAATGCAAGAGGAAGAGCCCCCAGGGTGGAGCTGCCAGCATGCCCCTGCTGAGAACGGGAGACAGCACCTTGTTTGTGGCAGGAGGTAGGGAAGAAGGCAGGGAACGGGGGAGTGCTAGGGGCGAGACCGGCCGCTAGGGACAACTTGCTTCTCTGAGAAGTACGATGCAGGATCATCTGAAAGCGACGTCATTTGAAATCCGTTTCTGCCTTGCATGTGATGTCAAGCCTTCGTCACTTAAGGCAAAATAATCATTGATTGTCTCACTTTTTTTTTTTTTTTTTTTTGTGGTTCAGGAATTTAGGAGTGGCTTGGCTGGAAGGTTCTGGCTTAGGAGTTTGAGGAGGCTGCAAGAAGCTATCTGCTGGGGCTGCATCATCTGAAGGCCCAACTGCTATTTGAGGATTCGCCTCCAGGGGCTTCGCTGGCATGGCTGGCGAGTGGGCTCTGGCTGTTGGCGGGAGGCCTCTGCTCCTCTCCACTTAGGCCTGTCCTCGGGGCTGCACGGCTGCATTTACAACACAACAGTGGGGTCCCCCTAGAGCAAGCATCCAGGAGAACAAAGTGGAAGCTGCAGTCTTCCAGGACCTGGCCTTGGACGTCACCCTCTGTCACTTCTGCACAGGTCGGCCACAGTTCATTGTGTGTGATGGGAAGAATCAGGTCATCAAGGGATGTTCTAGGAAGCTGGTTACCCTAGAGGGAGGAGGGGAGGAGGTGAACAGAGAAGAATGATTGGAGAGCCATGTCATCTAGTAGGATTAATTGTCTTACAGGGTCAAGGGTTCTTGTGTGTCTAGAGGTGACAGTGTCACAGCCTGTATGCTGGCTGCTCTGTCCAAATGAGGCCATGGGGCAGGTGGGGCTTGGAATCTTGACTGGAGTGAAGGTTGGGGATGGGGGATAAGGATATCTGTTGACATGAGGGATGTTGGACTCTGGACTGGGTTAACATGCAGTGAGGAGATGGGGGCGGAGAAAGAGCAAGAAGATAGGGTGGTTGGAGGCCTTGATGCGATTGGAAGACATATGTGAGAAAACAGCAGTGGACACAGAAGTTGAGCGGGAGGTTGAGTTCAGAGAGATTTCTGAATCAGGGTTCCAGGTGGAGGAACACCACCAAGTGACAGCAGAGCAGGGCAGAACTCATAGACGTGTAGGGACTGAGGGCCCTGGAGTTGAGGAATCTCTACGTTGTGAAGGTCTCAGCTATCCCCTGAGTGAAGTGGGACCGTAGCTTGAAGGAAATAATGGGAGTCAGGAGCCAAAGTCTCCAGGGAGTGAGGGGTTGTAGCCAGGAGTGTGTTTGTGACACAGCTCGGATGGGCAGAATATACAGGGAGACTCTGAGAGGCCCAGGTTTTCACAGTGTGTGTGTGTGTGTGTGCGCATGGGTGTGCACGTGTGGTGATGTCATGGTCCTATTGCAGGGGATGCAGGAAGAGAAGTTTTGGACTGGTTACCTCCTGAGCAGAATAAATGCCCAGGGTTAAAGACAGAACTTGCAGTGTGAGGGAGAGCACGAGGGCTGAGCTGAGGCAGACTTGTTCTCAGCAGCCCAGTTAGGGAGAGACCACCAAGACTCCGTGTTTTCCCACGTGTTCCAGAGCACTGTGCCCTGTGGGGATACGAGGACACGATCCTGGTTCTCCCACCACCCTGATGCCCAGGAGGCATTGCTGTCGTCGTCACGAGATGGCCGCTGTTGTCCTGTCCCCGGCTTGTGGTGAGTCCTTGGGCCCTGGAAGCTCTCAGAGTCCAGGCTTAAAAGGCACCCAACCCCACCAAGAGTGGATACAAAGGAGGGGGCCACACAGCCACAGAGGGTTGGGCAGAACAGGTGAGGCAGGAGCAGAGCCCCACGGGCCCCGAGGTCCCTCGTGTCTGACTGGACAGCTCTGGGATTCGGGACTCGGGTGTTGGGATGGTGGTGGATTTGTTACCCATGCTGTGACTGTGCAGGAGCTTTGCAACTGTACCTTTAATTGTTTCTACAAACACAGTAAAAGCAGTGACAGCCCCAGAACTTGGATTTCCTCACTGTGCAGTGGAAATAATCTCGTCAGGTCGGGCCTCTGTCCTGTTTTCTCTCCTGGCTGACACAGGGCTGTGCACTGGCTCCTTAGCACAGCTGTGTAGGGTGTAAGGCTGTGCTTTGTGTGTCGGGAGGTGCCTGGGTAGATGTTTGTTTGTGCAATGGGATATGGCCAGTCCCAGCTGGGTGCTGAGGCATCAGATCTGTGGGTGAGAACCCAGGGCAGCCTCAATTCTTGGATGCATGCCTTCTCCAGCTAGGACTTTTCTGTTCCCAGTCTCTCAGCAGGGAGGGTGCACGGAGGAGGCGCTGGCTGATGAGTCCCTGACAGGCTGGTTACAGGTGAGCCAGGCATTCCTTCTTCCAATCCATTATTCCTCGGGCCTCCCAGGATCTCTGGGCAAACAATGGAGGGTGGGGTGCTGCCCACAGCATGTAGTGCACGTCAACACTGATCGCAATACCTGAACTCCCTCTGGGGTCCCTGTGCACAGCACGTGCTGCTGAGAGTTGAAGAGAAGCAGCATAAAGCCGTGACTGTGTCCTGAAGTCAAACAATTTCTCCTGGCCCTGGGGAAATCATTTGTTCATTTGTTGAGGATCTCTTTGACTTCTGCAGGGTCCCAGGTCTGTGTTCAGGGAACTGAGGGAAATGAGACTGCGGGAGCTCACACTCAGAGTAGAGATGGAAAATCACTGTGTAGCAGTCCTGGGACCTTGGTGGGTGGGCCTGAGGGGACAAGCTGTGAGGGTTGAGAGCTGAACCCAGGAGCCAATGAGAGGAGGTCTCACATTTTGTGCTGTGGGCCACCCCTGCCCTGCCCTGTAGGGCCCATCCCTGGTGCTGCCAGTCATCCTGCACTCTCTTCCTGTCTATGCTGTGGGTGGGGGCAGAGGGTGATCCTTGGCCAAGCTGCATGTTTGCAATGGTTTAGGACCTGGTGACCTTTGAGGATGTGGCTGTGGAGTTCTCCCAGGAGGAGTGGGCCTTGCTGGACCCTTCCCAGAGAATGCTGTACAGAGACGTGATGCTGGAGAACCGCAAGAACCTGGCCTCTCTCGGTAAGCCAGACACCGTTCCTGCATTGACTGCATGGCCCAGGCGGCAGGACTTTCTCTCTCTCTCTCTCTCTCTCTCTCTCGTTCT